TCCGGGTCGGTTAATTGGTACCAGACTTGTCTGGGAGGATAAAAACACTGACTTGTACATCGGCTGGCCCCCGCAAGTCATTGTATAGGCCACATCGCATTCAAACGCCACTACGAATGTACAAATGGAAGTAGAATGCGTGCCGCATCCCAAAAAGGGATTGATCAACGGCAAATGCTTTATCCTTTCCTTATCCTTTATCCAAAAAATTTTGGTGCGGAAGTTTTGTAAATGACTCAGGAATTGTCAGCCATAAGTTGCGCGATTGTGCTTAATCACCTGTATCACTTGTCGTCCCGTTGATCATTGCTTGGCACGTGCGAGCACCAGCAACGCTCTATTCGTCTCTGTCGTGCGTCTGTCTTTTTTCATCGCATCTCTGTATAGATTACTAGAAGCTCGAACAAGAGTTGGTGATGGCCTGCAGCTCGTGCGGTTTCACGTTGGCGTAGCTCAGTTCATAAGGAACAGACGTCGGGAAACCGAGCTGATCGCGAAGATTTTTAGGGAACCAACAGTATTCCTCGTGGGTGTTTCCGATACCGGAATCCTCCCATAAGCTGATAAGAAAAGTTGGTACCAGTTGATGCCTGCCTGACTGCCCTGACTGCCCTGGAGCTTTGTCCTGAACTTTGCTGCTCTCTCAACACGCATCGAGAAGTGGAATCTTGCGCGGAGGAGACGATGGTCCGATCCCGTGTAGAACTTCGGAACAACAGCGACGTCGGTCAGGCAAAACCTTCTGAATATGATGTGGTCTCTCTTGGTCCACAAGAACAGACTTCGTGCCACCTTTGTCGTACAAAATGCAGATCTCCACCGATCTCTTTCACTGAGGGTCCTCTCTCACTGAAAGATCTCGAGCCGGTTGGTGGCGAGGCTACGTGGCGCGACCCCAGGTGGCGGATAGGGGGTAAATCGCGGACCAAAAGCCACCATGTACTTGCCCTGAGACGCAGGTGGATTCAGGGGATGGACTCCCTGTTTCTGTAGTGCTGTGTTGATTCATACCAGCTGTCTCCACTCAGGCGCATCCATGCATGTGCGCTTGCGTGTGTGTGCGGTAGGTATCCTGCATGTCGGCACGTCAAAAGCTTGAATAAAGTGACACATGGGAGGCGATCCGGGGTCGCTCCAAAAACAAAGCCCCTTGTTCCGCTCCGGGATACCTGGAGGTCTATGCTATTCCACGACAGAGCCTGGCAAGCTACTCATGGGGAGTTCATGCCGAAAACAGCAATATGGATGGGCCTCATTCCCCTGAACCTGAGGGAGCCCCCAATACGGCAGCGTTGGGTAGGACCGCTCGGGAGAGGCTGCTAGAATCTCAGGGCCCGGATAGGCTGCCTAAACGAAGAAGGACTAAGATGGCGATCTGTACTTTCAACGCACGAACGCTTGCATCCGAAGCTCACATCGAAGATCTGATGATGCAGGCCAGGAAGATCAAGTACGACGTCATCGGACTGACCGAGACGAGAAGGCACCGCCCGCTACACGCCGTTTTCGATACTGGAGAAGAACTGTTCCTTGGAACATGCGACAGCAGAGGCGTTGGCGGTGTGGGTGTCCTCGTCAACACGCACTTGGCCATAAACATCGATTCGTACGAAAGCCTAACGACCCGAATCGGACGTTTGAGATTGAGATGTGGTACATTCACTCACTGCGTGTGTCCTGCTAGTGAGTCTAATCCCGTGGCTGGCCTTTAATACGATGTTCAGCGTGTTTTTATATAGTGGATAAAGGTAAGATAAAGGTTCAACTCGTGGACTTCTGTATATAAATAGTTTTTATTGATTACTGCTTAACAAAATGAGCATCAGGTGGACTTTTCCAAGTTTCAGTGATATTAAGATTTAAGAATTCTCTAGTGTTCGGACTTGACGTACTTTTTGTTACAGGTACATCTGCCTGAAAGGCTGTGGAAGATTTTTTGCAAGTGCTAGAAATCAGCGGAATCATGAAGCGAGGTGCTTCTACAATACAGAGCAAGCTCATGATTTTGGCGATGCGATCTATGAGCAACTTGTTTATAATGATCAAGAGGAAGAAGAGGCTAGTGATCATGAGGTGAGTATGTGCGGTTGTTGTGTGGGGGTATTTTGAGAAGGGGCGCAAGTTGCTGTGGGGTTGTTGAATTTTTAGTAATTTTGTAAGAAGGGCCATCTTCCTGAGCTGCTGGGATTGAGCCACTTCCCGGCGTGTGATATCTTCTGACTGTATGAGAGTTTTTCTTCCGGCTAAGGTAATATTTTCGTTGCTGTCCCTCGAAAACGAGAAGATCCGATCATTTTTGAAATCCTACCTCTTGCTCTACCACTAAACCAAGCCAGTTCCTCAAAAAAGGTTCATAATTGAATGAGAAATTGATAGGTCTTCCG